CTGCAGGATAAATCAACAAAACTACACAAATTGACGCACAGCACAGTTTTAGGCGAAGAACCAATCACAAGACTGGTTATGAACTAGTTGAGCAAGGCTAACCGAATTATAACCTCGATGTGGTTTGTAACCAGTCTTAGGATTGGTTGTTGACAAATGCTGAACAGGCCACACCTCCAACTGTGCCTTGCGTTTGAGCTCGCTGGAGCCTTTATCCCTTGTCTATTTCTTACACTAGATACCAGCCGATACACCTTATTATCCCGGTTGATTGGCTCCACTTCCTGGGGAGCATATATATGTATGCCAAACATTCCATATCATGTTTACTTCTTGGTAGAGAGAGGTAGTAGGAGTAAGGCAGGAGTTTTTCTAAAAAAAAAACCTGCAATTCAGCGGCGCCACCAAGTGGGGGAAATACGGTTCTCCCTACCAGGGTGTGAAGTTTTTGATAATTCTAAGTTAAAATTGAGCATTCTGTGGCTTCTTTGGGGCCAAAATTACTATCAGACAGGTCGCAGTTGAAGACTGTGGCCACATGTGATCCCTGGTCAATCAGAATTTTATGGTTGCCAGAGGATCTGCTCCCCAGGGTGAGGCAGCGCATGTCCATGACATGATGGTGCTGTGCCCCTTTTCCCTTGTTTATAAAGATCCCTGGTAAAGTACCTTTCCCAAGGATACAAACAACATCATGGCATAGCCAGGTCTCACAACCCTATTGTTGATAACCATGGTAACTCCAATTTAATAGTACAATATATTTCTGTCTTTGACTTTTAGAAAAAAGAAGCAGTTAGACGACTTTCTGTTGGGAAAGCAACAAGAACCAGAGGATCTCAGAGGAAAAGTAATAAATTTATTTTCTATACTTTTACCAGTTAGTGACATATTGTGAGCACCAAAACAGCAATATTTCCTTGTTTGATATGAGCATCTGATTTTAAATGACTGGGTTAAATCACACTATATGGATGCACTATTAGGTTAATTTGTATTGTAGCTTGTGTGAAACACATCTTTATATATATTCATCACTAGATAATACAGGGACTGGCAAACATGAAAGGAAGTAGGAAGATGTTGTGTGCAACATCCTTTAATGTATCATGTTGTATTACATCAGTGGGTTGGTGGGTTTGTGTACCTGTAGTTTATATAACCCTTTTTTGACAACATGCTGTATCAAATATGTAGAAAAACAGGTTTACATCACATGTAGGTACATTTCAAGCAATGGCTCTTTATTTTTTATACTGTCAAAACAGAGTCATTACTCAAGCATGTAGGTATTTTGCATAATTATTTAGGGTGATTACCAGTGTTTATGTATTTTGTTACATGTATTGCCTATTACAGTTACTGTTGGATCAGATAAAATAAGATTGTCAAAGCAAGGTGGGGATGAACAGACTAAAACAAGTATAAAGAGAAATGAAGCAAGTAGTTCAAGAAGTCATCGAGGATTACCAGACGGCAGTTATGAAGAAGGTTTTCTGACTCAAGATATATCTGATTTAGAGACATTTGGAGAAGAAACAAGTCCTGTTAAAAGACCTGTTAAAAGACCTAAAAGTATTGAAGGAATATTTTCTAGAGCTATAACAGCTGTCACAGATTCTGGTCCAAATGTAATCACACGGATTTCTTCGAGAAAAACAACCACTCCTAGCAAAAATGCAGGTGAGATACAGTACTGGTTATTTGTCATTCTCAGAGCACTAACTAAATATGCTGAATCAGTTTGAATATTCAAATATTCTTGTATTTTTAATAAGCACATACGATGAATGCTTGAACATGTATAATGATTTTCAGATCATTATGACCTCTCACTGTTTTGCTTCTATTTCTGTGATTTATTGGGATCATTTCAACAGAATTACATTGCTAATTTCATTCAAGCAGCTCTAGTACTGAATGTCACACAGAAAGTATTGGTATTGTTCCTTCACACCATTGTGCTCAAGAGCCGACCTACTTTTTTGTGTTTGACAGCTATTTATCAAGTTTTCTGTATTTTTGTTTGAGGATATGTTCTTATATAAAATAAATAAATTAATAAAAAAACAAAACTATTAGTAATATAGCCTATTTGAAAAAACATGTATCCTCTCAGATTGAGGTGTAAAATGTCGCCTGTGGCAAAGACTGTTTCTGGACCCTCAACCACCAATGGAAGTCACGGCTTGGAGAATGGTTATTTGTATGGAGAGAAAAACAGTGTGATTGGTTGAGGAATCTGTAAATGTTTCAGTGTAAAGATCAAATCTTGATTGATCCCAACTAAAATGTGTTTTGTGTGTCTAATATTCTGACATGTACAGGTTCCCCAGAAGTATTTACACACCACACTACATGCAGTTACTACCTACGATATCATTCAAAAAAATAAACTCCAAAACGGTTTGAATAAATATCTTCGTATATCTAATAAAATATGCGGTATTACACACAATAAAAACAAAAAATTGGAATTGTCATGCAAGATTGAATAAAAAAACTGCAGTCTGAACGAAACAGCGAAAAAACGTTTAAATTCTTTATGGAGAATACAGTGTAAATGCAAGATCATGAATATTTATGAAGTAATAGAACGCGGCGAATGTCAATAATGCGTGTGTCCACCACTTCGCTGGCTGACTTCTCTGAGCTGTTTTGGCATGGTATTGATGAGTTTTCACCACATGTTCACCTGGAACTGTCCTCAAGCTTCCATTATGCTCGCGTATAAATTCTCGATGTTAGCGACTGGTCGGGAATGCACCTCTAAATCGATCAACTCCCAAAGGTTCTCAATAGGGTTCAAATCTGGAGACTGTGCAGGCCAATTCAAAGTGGTAAGTTGACGAAAAGATATCCGTACTCTTGTGGATTATTTAGAAAATCCTTCACTGCCAATGCTGTGTGAACGGGGACATTATCCTGTTGGAAATGGAAATTGGGTTCAATGAGTCTTAGTGCTGACGGTATCATTTCGTTTTCCAGGATAACCAAATATTTCCATCGATTCATGGTTGGTCGGTACACGGACTAGCAATCCTAAGCCGGTAGCTAAAAAACATCCCCACACCATGACGCTTCCACCACCAAATTTTATTGTAGGTTTAATGCATTTCAGCTCGTACTCTTCACCTGGTCTCCGACGTACGTATAATCTTCCACGGCTACGAAACACTGTAAACTTGGATTCGTCCAACCAGATAACTTGAGCCCATTGCGCCGGAGCCCATACTACCTTGCAGACGAAGTTTTCGCAGGTTGAAACCCATGGAGCCTTCAGAAATTCCCAGTCTTCTTGCTATTTCCCTGTTAGGGACTCCTTCTGTATACAGTGCTTCAATGTTCCCTTT